TCAGGAGTCGCTGAGGCGGCGGCGCCGCCGCTTCCCCTTGCGCAGCCGTGCGCTTGGGTGATGTCTGACTGCTTCATCCTTAGTTCTGCTCCCAGAGCTGCGCTGCAGCCTTAGGCTCCTTCTGCCAGCTCTCCTGTCTTCTCAGCTGCCCTGCACTGTCCCTGGGCTGTAGCCCAGCCTCACAGCACTCTGATAGTGGGAAGTGAGGGTGGGAGCTGCTGGGAGCACAAGTGGGAAGGGGTGTTTGGTTCTTCCCAGGCCCCAGGCTCGGTTGTTAATCAGGGACATAACTCATGGCGAGCCCAGCTGCCCTAACAGTTGCACATGTGCCTAGATGTTGATTGAGCAAGTGAGCTGGCGGGTTGTTTGATGACAGGCAGGTGCCAGGCTATTTGGTGAGAGGGTGCAGCATGAAAGTGCGTGTGGTAATGGCAGGGCAGCCTACGCTCGGGTCAAGCCCAAGGCCCTTGCATGTAAACAAAGGTCCCTTGGTTGGAAAAAATGAGGAAATGCAGGTCTTTGTGGGAAAAGGGAGGAAATTCAGGTCTTTGCCTTTTGCAGTCAGATATACGCTGCATCAAGTGCTGCTCACTGTTTGCTGACCTCTTATTCCCTCCCTTTCTAGTGTAGACATCAAGACAGTTCTTTCCATAGGAGATGGAGCAGTCTGGGAGATGCAGAATAACCATACCTAGGAGCCCAGAAAATTTATATAGCGATAGGTAAAAACTCACTTCACATGTCACAGTTCTTTTTTAAGAGCTGCCCTGCCTCTGTTAACATAAGGGACACAAAGGGTAAGAACTGTCAGTCAGTTACCAAGGCATTAATTTTGGTGACCATGAGCTCCTGCCACAAAAACAGCTGAGCTGCAGCAGCCAAAAGGCGCTCTGTCTAACCTAAGGCCTGTGTGCGTCTCAGCTGTCAAAAAAATAAAGGACTGAGAGGCAAACTCATTTGTGACCGTCTCCTGATGCTTATGTCCTTATTTCTTAGCTTTTGTAGTCATCTGCTTTTCTTGTGCTCTTCATCTAGCATTCTCCATTCCTAAGCAGAGCATGAAAGCTTTCTACCATCTGGCCTGTGGAACAAATTTCATTCTTCCACCTCACTGAGTCTCCATTTTCCTTCAAATCTCAAAGCTGAAAATGGGTTTATTTCTTTGCATATTTCTTTCTTCTATTATTTGTTTCTCTAGTAGCATTACTGAACTCTGTCTGCATAGACTGTATAGGAGCTAATTCTGCATTCCCGACTCACCTAAATTCTTGTTAAACTCAGTGGATGTTTTTGAGTGTGCAAGGAATACAAGATGGGGCTAAATAATTGTATTCGACATTCTGCACTTCTAAAATCTCCAAAAGTGGTGTTGCTCATAATTAAAATTTAAAAGCAGCCAAGCAGCAAATACAGCATAGATAATTATAGGATATCTCTATCAGATACCAGCTATAAATGTCGTTTTGTGTGAAAGCCTGATAAATAGTTAATCATTTGGGTTTTTGTAAAGTGGTGTTTTTCTCTACACAGATGGCTAGTTCAAAAAAAAAATATTCAAACTAGCCATTTCATGCCATGGTTACTGTTGAGTTTTAATGGATATATATGTATAGCACCTTTTTTTTTTTTTTCCAATGGATTTATTGAGCTTTAGATTGGTAGGATTACTCCTTGTGTAGAATGAGATTTTGTTCACCAGCCTTGTCTCTTCGAAAAAAAAAAAAAAAACAGTGCAGTTGGCATTTCTGAAGAAGACCAGAAGGCAAAGTCTGATTTGTGCCTTATAAGACTATGTAAGACCTACTTAGAGTGGTCTACAGCTTTTCTGATGACACTGAATTTCAAATTTGTTCATTCATCTATAGATCAAAAAATTTATTAACATCACGAAGGATTTCCACACTGTCATTTTTTAAAAAGGATGAAATTCTGCATACTCATGAACTCCGTGGTAGGACAAAACTCACAGGAAGGAGCTGCTCATCCCTACCCATTCCCATTCCCTGCTACAAGGCAGTGTGGAGGAAACCGCCGTGGATTGAAATGCCTTGATAGACTAGATATGTTTGTCTCAGTCCTTTTGCTCTCCGTATACACTCTCTGCGATACAATAATTCTTAGAACAATTAACAGAGGAGCTTGTTCAGTGGCAAAATTGGGGCATCTAAAATAAAAAATTATTTGGAGAGACAGAAAAAAAACACAAAATGTACTTAGAGAGACAATTGCATAGCTTACATATTTCTAATGACAAAAAAGAAAGAGTACATGGAAACAGGAGAATTGAGAACCTAATAGACCGGTGAATGTGGAGCATAGAGCTGCCTCCAAGCCACAGTGAGTCCAGCTGCTGGAGGTGCCTGCGATGGCCTGGAGTCACCGTCCCATCCCTGCCGACATTGGAATCGTTTGCACCCCAGAGCTCTTCCTCTCCCCAAACAAAATCCTTCCAGCCGGTTCTACTGAGTCCATTTCCACCCAGCGGTCCCAGAGCTTAGTCCATCTGCCACTGCTTGCAGTCATCCCTGTGCATTGACTTCATCCTCAAAGTCTACCCCAGCTCTCTGAAGTCTCCTCCAAAGTCTACCCCGGTTCCCCCAGCTCTCATTACCTGGTCAACTGTTCCTCTAATTTCGCTTCCCACTGGCACCTACTTCTAGTCTCAGATCGACTGCCTGCCCCAATTCTTGTTCATGAATTAAAAATCTTACTTGTTGCTCCAGCAGCTTGTAAAAATCCACAAAGAAGCCACATGTGCTTAACTCCATGTGGGCAAAAACAAGAGGTGAGGAAAAGAGGACACATGCAGGAACACTGTCTACAGGGTAGCCTCATCCAATTACTTTTTGGTTGCTCTGCTCTTCTGGGTGCAAACAGACTAGCAGAAATGCTGTGATTTCTCATTTCAAGCCTGATTGAGGACAGACGTTTACTTCAAATAAAAGTTAGCTGAAAAAAATATTTGGTGCATATGCCACCATTTCTGCTGGGCCCACATGGAAAATCTCAGCGGAAAATTACAAATACTTTCTCATTCAGCCTTTCGCTTAGATAATGCAAAGTCTCTGTAATTGTTTCTGGGGTGCTTGATTTGTTTTGGAGCAGGGCTGCAAGAGTGCTGT